AGGAGAGGAGGGGGAGGAGGGAGGGAGGAGAGGAGGGGGGGAGGAGGGGAGGAGAGGAGGAGGGAACGGGGAGGAGGGGAGGAGAGGAGGAGGGAGGAGGGGAGGAGGAAAGGGGGAGGAGGGGAGGAGAGGAGGAGGGAGGAGGGGAGGGGGAGGAGGGAGGGAGGAAGGAAGGAAGAAAAGACAAACAACACATCCAGCTTGATGTGGGACGTATTAAGTGTGAAGTGACCTCTGTTGGAGGATGAGTGGATGATGATCAGAAAGAACTGAGAGACAATATGGCTGCAGGGACACACAGGGGCCAGGTGGAACTTTGGAAGTTACATGAAGAAGTCTGTCTTTATCCAAAGGCAATAAAAAAGCAACCAAAGGTGTTGAGCAGATAGAGGAAGAGGCCACAATCAGATTTGCTTATAGAAAGACTCACTGTAGCCACACACACCGGGAGGGAAATTTCAATTGAACTTCATCCCCTAGAGCTGCATGTGCGACTTGGAGTGTGTGTGTGGTCATGGCCAAGAACTTCCTCACTCACTCATCTCTTCCCCGAGCCTAGCCTCCAGGAGTCAAGTGGGACTAGGCCTGGTCTCTGGGCAGTGACAGTGTGAGGGGCCGTGACCATAAACCCCAGCAAAGGCACCAGGGAAGGCGGATGAAGAGCTCAGCCAGGGGCTTAGCAGATCATAGACATTAAATTGTGAGTGCAGCCGGCTCACTGCCCCTCTGCCTCACAGGAGCAAATCCCTCTTGTCAACACAGTCTCCACATCTATTTAGAGAAGGATTAAGGAACCGGAAGTCCCAGAATGCCACTACCCCAATGAGAGAGAGGAGATTTAAATCCCACCACCATTAAGGGCTCAAAATTTTTGTAAGGGACCAGTTGTTTGATAACTCAAGTCACCAAGATCCTAGCCTTGGGCTCTTTGCCCGAGCAGGGGGCTCCATTCATCCTCTCACAGGTATGGCCGCACTCACTACGGGCAGCCTTAGCCCTCAGAACCACAGCAGGTCAGCCAGACCTCCAAAGGACTCAAACCCAGCCTTTTAGGGGGAGGTGAGAGTAGAAGAAAATGTGATCACCATGCCTTTGGAAGCAGGGCTGGGTCATGTTGTTGTGGTCTGTTGGCAACAGTAGTTATCATGATAACCATGCCCTGGCCACACGGCACCCCTTCTCTGTGCAGGCCCTGGCTGTGGGTTTAGACACACCTCACCCCTTTCTCATATCTCCTCTTCAGCAGGAGAAACTGAGCAGTAGTCGGTGAGGAGTGGGGATAACATGGAGAGGAAGCAGGAAGAATAGAACAAAACAACAGCTGAGAGCAAGCACTCAGGGAGCAGCAGTGACTCAATAAGTAGGGACATGAAGGATCAGGAAACTGAAAGCAGTCATCGAAACAGCCACTGCTAAGCAGAATAGTTGATTTGCATGAGCATCTTGGCCAGGGTAATGCCCAGAAGGCTGACGGGATATAAGAGGTCTTGACAGTGTGTGTGAGTGTGACCGTGTGTTACATGGGAGTGACTATGGGTGCAGGACATCTGTGGGGCATATGACTGTGACCACGTACACTGTGTGTGTGACTATGAAAACTTGTGTGTGATGTGTGATGTGTGTGTATGACTGTGTATGCATGTTAGTGTGTGATCAGGACTTCCAAGAAGTGCTGTAAGACTAAACAGAAAGAGTTGGTCATTTGACTAGTAGAGTGTACCTCCTCTGTGTCCATAATTACAGTAATTTTGGAAACTTAAGTGTCAGAGGCCTGACTGAAAGTTGTCACAGGGAGATATAGCTATGTAATTTTCTGACCATGTGCATTCCCCGGTAGATTCAGAAATGCCCAGAACTGTGTTCAGTATCTTTTTCCCAAGCCTTGGGTCAAGAATTATTTTATGTTCTTTGAATATGTATGTTCATCTCTTCCCACTTTAACACTTCCTGGGATGAATTCAAGAAAGTGTTCTGCCCCTAAGAACCAGATTCAAGCTGACCTCCCGCCATGCAGGTGCCTGGAAATGAGACTCTTGGGTCTTCTGAGAAGTGATAGAGATGCTGCAGCTGAGGTCCCTGAGAATCCCAGGGCTCCTGCTGAACCCCAGTACCATTCTCGGGGATAGACAATTTCAGATGATACTTTTCCTCCAGTCTTAGTACACTGAGAACCTATGTTCTAGTCCTTGGAGCCACCAGCACACTGTATAACTTATTCATGCTTCTGAGTCACTGTTTATGCTCCTGTAAAATGAGCCCCTGTAGGCGATTTCCTAATGCATGTTCTATGGGACAGGAATTCCACAAAACAGTTGTTGTTGTTTCTAAGAAATACTGCAACACTTACCCCCCTCTTCAAGTTTCACTATGTCTATTTGCATAATGAAGTTTTTAGAAGTTCTGCTGCAAAGACATCTGTTTAAAATGACCTACACCAGGATTTCCCAATCCCCTTTGACCCCAGAACCTCCTCTTCACACATCACCTGTTCACATTGCTTAAAATTAGAGCTTGGGGAAGTGGCTGGACCACGTGACCTCCAAGGTCCTTCCAAGCCTATGATTCTAGCCATGAAACCAGGATAAGCCCTCCAGGGTGGCTCCAGGGTGGGCCTCTTTCCTCTCCTTCTGGAAGATTTGATCTGTTTGCTTTCAGGCTGAGTACGAATAGGCCTTACAGAATATTTATGTCTCCTAGAAAAGCAGTCTCCACGGGGTGCCAGAGATTGGGATTATAACTCTTATTTGTATTTTTCCTAAAAATAAGGAAGCAATCAAATCTTAATTTACATGCATACATACATATATGCATGTACTTTTATATGTATAAAAGTACATGCATATAATCTGTAAGTAAATATACACTGTAGGCATCATTTCAAATATTATACATATAATTTTTTAAAATGTTTTTTAGTTGTTGATGGACCTCTGTTTTATTTATTTATATGTGGTGCTGAGAATTGAACCCAGTGCCTCACACATGCTAGGCAAATGCTCTATCACTGAGCCACAACCCTAGCCCTACATTTTTTTCCCTAGGAGTTCAGGATATATATATATATATATTTTCCCTCATGCCAAAATATTTGATTGTAATTGTTTAGCAGGCCTCTATGGTTCCTACTGGACATAATCCTGAGAAACAAAGCAGCACAATCTAAGAAGGGTAAAGAGATTTTTACCCACCATCTACGCCTATCTGCCTTAATTCAAAATGCTGTGGCTGGACAGAGGCATCTGAACGCAAGGCTCAATCTAGTCCAGCTTCCTTCTTGCTTTGCGACACAGTATTTGTGCTTTTTTTCTGGCTGGGAAAGGCTTCCAATAGGAAGGATGTGTCCCCCAGCCCTCCTGGGGAGCTCTCCCCCCTGTGCCACAGCTGCTACTGCAAAGTGGCCTCCTTCCCCTCCCTCCTGACCTTACCTTGGCTTGGGCATTTCCAGCTGTCCTGTCCATCTCTTCCTCCTGGGCTTTCTGCTCTCCACAAGAACCATCAGGCAAAACAAAAACAAAACGAGTCTTGTAAAATAAGGCATTTTGTCTACGTCTACGATGCAACAGCCTGCTTTCCAGTGACCTTCAATGGGGCAGGTCTTCCCTGACTCAACCATTGATTCCGTCTTCAGCCTCCCGACGGTGCTGCTCCGAGGGGCTGCAAGGGCATGGTTGGTGAGGCTGATTTCCCGAGTCACTATTTGATTCTGGTGCCTCTTCCACCCACACACACCACCCACCAGGCCATGACACAAACACCAGGCTTTGCCTTCCGTGCTGTTAGAGATTGGCCATTAGTCAAGAAGTTTGCCCTCCTGGGAAACTCTGCTTCCGTTCAACCCTAGAACGGCTTTGGCTAAAACTGTTATATAAAAAAAAATTAAATCTCTTGAACATGCCAGCTTTTTTGCTGAGATCATTAATCCATCTCTCTGGCGGCATAAAACCAGTCTGTCACATCAGCAGGGAGTCAGCATGGATTTGTGCATGGAGAGGAGTGCACGAACATGTTCAGGAAATGCTGAGAAACACATGAATGACCTGTTTTCAGAATGTTGCTTTCTTTTTTGGTTTAAGAATATGCTTCTCCGATGGAGAAGGATTCCTGCTTTTCCCCAAATACACACTTTTTTGTTTGCTTGTTTGTTTTCAGTGAAAACATATTTTATCAAATCATAAAACATATTCTTGTTTTGTAGAGCATAAACCAAATGCAAATTCATGATCATGTAAACTCTTTTTCCTATCATGAGTGTTAAATTAACTTTGGTCTCTGACCCTGAAATGTGTGAAGTCAAACATCATAAATTAGGTTTGATTCCTGTCCTGCAATATGGAATTATGCACATTAGAAGTGCAGAGATATATACAGTTAGGTTTAACTGGAGAACAAAATACTGCATGTTTAAAAACTATTTATTGCTTGCTTCTGTGTCCTAGAAATAGAGAATCTAGTGTGGTAGGAATGTAGGAAGATGGGAACAGAGGCAAGGAGGGAGAGGCAGAATGGAAACAGAATTGTGGTTTATCCTGCAGGGAAGAAAGAACCGAAAGCAGCAAAGCAGGACAACACAATCCATTTCATTTTTTAAGGAATCCCTACTTGGGATAAGTTGGAACAGGAAAACTATAAAAACTAAAATGGATGAGATCCTTCTTGAAGGGAAGGAGAAAAGAAGAGGAATGAGATTACCAAGTTAGTTCGGAAATGGAGTACATTTGGTGACTCCTACTCTAGGTGATGAGAGAATGGGAGAGAGAAATCAACGACAGCAAAATTCTCATTTGCAGGTAGGTCTGGAAGTTTAGTTGGAGGGTACCACTAATAACTGAAGATATCCATTATAGGTGGGCAAGCATGGTGCTGAGATGAGATAAATATTGACTAGTGGAGTTTGAGGAGACATCAGACTTCTAGATGGCCAGCAGCAGCTGGAGTCTCAGCCTGAAGCTCAGGAAAAAGGCATGGAATGGAGAAATAGTTTTGGAGTCATTAGGATAGGATGGTAGTTTAACCCCAAGAAAGAGTGAGATCTTTCAGGGGCATACAAAAAGCCAATGTTTCAGCACAGGATCTTGGAAAATCTATGCTTTTTTTCTTTTCTTTTTCATTTTATGGATTGAACCTAGGGGTGTTTTACCACTGAGCTACATTCCCAGACCATTTTATTTTATATTTTAGACAGGGCCTCTCTAAAATGCTAAGGCTGGCCTTGAACTTGTGACTCCTACCTCAGCCTCCTGTGTTGCTAGGATTACAGGCATCTGCCACTGCACCCTGCAGAACTGATACTCTTGAAGGATCCATAGGGCAGCCAGAACAAAAGGAGAGAAGAACAAGAAGTTGGCTATGAAACCAAAGAGGCAGAGTTTCAGGAAGAGGATAGTTAACAGTCAGTGCGGTGAAGAGGTCAAGCAAGGTGAGAGCAGGAGACAGCTACTGAACCTGCCAACTTGGACATCATTCCTGACATGTGCAGTTTTGGTTGTGGGGTGTGCTGGGAAGGAAAATTACAATGTAATTACAAATTGTAATTATAAATCACAATGAGAGTGGGAATGCATTTGTACAGGGACTCTCTTTCAGTGGTTCCCAAAACTGGCTATTTCTCAGAATTATCCAGAGAATTTTTCTTTTATTGCTTGCAGTAATGGGGATCAAACCCAGATCAGAAATTTTAAAATTTAGCGGTAAAATATGGGAACAAAGTTCTTTTTTATGGGTTTTGTTCAAAAAGATTTTTTTCCTTTCTTCCACTTGGAATAAGTCTCTAAAGGACCAACCGGAACTCTGTGCCTGGATGTTGTTAATTTTCAAGAAATAGTTGTTTTGTTACTATTCTTATGAATAGTTCATAAGAACTATTGTGATAACAGTAGAGAGAGAACCACAGATGGATGGTATAACCTTTTACCACAACTTTATTGAATTATCATTTATATACCATAAAGTCATGTTTTTAATGGGTGATTTTTAGCATATTCAGAATTGTGCAACTATCACCACTAATTTTAGAATATTTTAATCTCCCCACAAAGAAATCGCATACCCAGGGGCTGGGATTATAGTGCCATGGTAGAGTGCTTGCCTAGCACAGGTGAGGCACTGAATTCAATCCTCAGCACAACATAAAAATAAAGTATTATATGTCTATCTATCAAAAAAAAAAAATCCCATACCCAGTTACAGTCACTCCCCATTCTCTTTTCCTTAGCCCCTAGCAACTACCAATCTTTCTCTCTCTATGGATTTGTCTATTATAGAGACTTTAAACAGAATCATACAATATGCAGCCTTTTTATACCTGCTCACCATGTTTTCAAGGTTCTTCTATATTTAGTATGTTTCATCACTTCATTCTTTTTTATAGGCAAATAATATTCCATGGTTTAGATAGAACATTGATCCATTCATTAGTTGGTCATGTAGGTTTGCACCTTTGGTCTATTAACAATGCTGCTATGGACATTTGCATGAGTTTGTGTGTGACAATGTTTTCTTTTGGATACATTTGTGGGAGTAGGATTACTGGGTCATATGGTAAGCTTGTTTTCTTTTTTGAGGAACTACCAACCCATTTTCAAAGGGACCACATAATTTATGTTCCACCCAAAATGTAGGAGCATTCTAATTTCTCAGCACCCTGGCCAAACACTCATTATCTGGCTTTTAGTCTAGCCATACTTGTATGAAATAATATACATATCCTTAATGGCTAATGATGTTGAGCTTCTTTTCATGTGCACATTGGCCATTTGTATTGCCATTTTTAAAGTCAGGTTGTCTTTTTTTTTTTTAACTATTAAATTGTAAGTATTGTTTAGATATTCTCAGTGCAAGTCCCTTATCAAATGCTTGATATGCAAATATTTTCTCCTGTGTCATCTTTCCATCACTTAATAGTGTTCTTTGGGAAAAGTTTAATGGAACCTTTTCTTTGGTTGTTTGGGCTTTTGAACTTGTATCTAAGAAACCACTCCCTTGGGGCTGGGGCTGTGGCTCAGTGGTAGAGCACTTGCCTAGCATGTGTGAGGCTCTGGGTTCGATTGTCAGCACCACAAACAAATAAATAGAGATCCATCAATAACAAAAATTAAAAAAAAAAAAAAGAAACCACTCCCTAGCTCACCACAATGAAGATTTAGTTTCCTTCCAAGAGTTTTAAAGTTTTAGCTCCTACATTTATTATTATTAAGCTCTTCCATACATTTTAATTTTTGTCTATGGCACAAAGCTATGGATGGTGTAACTCGTAACATTTGCACATTTCTTTGAAAATGAAGGATCAACCAGTCCCACTGGTTGAAGCTCAGAATTGTAGGAAGGACCCAACTGCACTTGCTGAGGTCTAATTTACACCAAAAAGTTAGGCAGGACTGTTACACACAGCAATATCTTACAATTAGGGTTTAGTTCAACCTTAAGAACACTAGGATCAATTCTGTGTATTAGAGAAGACTCTTGACTATGGGATGAGGAATGGTGCAAGACTGAAGACCTATGAAGAGGCAACTGCATTGATTTTGAGGGGGTAACAGCTAATTATGGTAGTGGCAAGAGAGCATGAAGAGAAATGGAAAATATGAAAAAAGATATGGAAATAGAATAGACAAGTGATCAGACTAGATGGCAAAGAATACAATCTTTGGTCAAAAACAAGGTATGAATAGTCACCAGTTTTATTGAGCAGCTCAAACTAGTTCTGAAGGCACCTATTCAAGAGACATTCCAAACAGCTTCTGAGCAATGCACAGCTTCCCACGAGGGTTTCAACGGCACACATGATAATGTACACATTATTCTTGGTTAAAGTAAGGTTCACTAAATGCCTTCACTTTATACTTACTTGCAAGTAATAAAACAATGTACGCTTTTCAGTACTTCACCCTAGGTTTCTGCTCAATTAAGTTCAAGTGTGTGAGGTTTACTTGTTTACTGATTCTGATCTGCAAAAACAGGCAAGCTTCAAGATACCAGAATGTTTATTCATAAACCGAAAATAACAAAAAGAGTCTTTATTCTCCTGAAATAGGAAACTGTATATTTCCGTAGTCAAAACAATAAACAATTTAAGATTTCTTTAAAAAATTAGTTGAGAATCTTGATGAAATTCATTTATTTCAGTAGAATAAAACAATAAGCAGCATGGAAATATAAAGTGCTACATAAAAGCCCCAATACATAAAATTTGAAAGTTCATTGGCTTTAAACAGTTACAAGTGAAACAGACATATTTTTATCAAGCATGCTATTTTAACTACCTTAATAAGTAGTAATGTGCTATGTTGGTCAATGAAAAAGCCAAGAGTTACCTAAATCTGAGAATTGGGGTAATAAGGAGTCCTTTACATCTTTATATACCAGATTATACTTCTAGTTTGGCCTTATGCTTGAATTAAGGGTTAAAGTGGGGCTTTAAAATAACAAGTTTTCTGAAGAGGCCCTTCAGTGGGGTTTCAATAAAAATGGCCTCAAAGATCAATTTAATGTGGTTTATTAACCACACAATGGGGATCAGATTGACAATTTCAGATTTTTAGGAAGACCATTCGAGGTGAAAGAGGAAAAACGTGCCACTTCTACATGTATGTGTCAAGTGCTAAAAGACCCAGAACAATCAGGCAGGTGTCCAGTTCCTTGAGGGATAAGGGAAGAGACACAAATCAGATTAAAGAAGGATCTGCAAAATGCTTAATTGTAAAGCACAGGTACAGCCTGTGGAAACAATCAAGATCACATACATCCAGAGGCTGGCTCAAGTTTGAGAGGAAATAGAAAGAAGATTGTT